GTTATAGGCAACTAGTTAATTATGGCTCTATAATTCAATTGGATGACTACATGTATAGTCTCTATTGTCATGGTGTTTTCATAATGAAGATGAACTTTGCTGTGAACCTTGTTAATAACAAAGTTGTAGATAACTTACCCATTTGTCTCGTCATAAAATTTCATGGTCATAGGTCTAATGATTTAAGAGTTATAGCTATTAAAAGTCTGCTATCAGATTTGCCTGTCCTCTAGATAGATCTGAAAGATTGAGTTTTTTTACCTATATAGCTACTGAATCACCTTAAGATGATTAAAAGAGAATTGTAGAAAATTTCATAAGCTTTCCATAAAGTCCACAACCATATTGTTTGGATGCTTATAACTCTAGTTATAGTCAAAACAATTAGCTGTTGTCTTGCAGCCCAGAAAATGCTAAATAGGTGTTTGTTTAATTACTAGAGAGGAGATATGCACCTACTCAGTAAAAGAAAATTAATCTTGTTATTACCCTAATACCTTGTTGTTAAGGACATTTATGTTTATGCATCATATCATATCATCCATATCATTACCTGTGCATTCTTGTACCTTATTTCGTGCTCATGCATAAAGGGTCGCCCGTGGGAATCACTCTCTTGGAATTCGATGCTGAAGAGGCGGAAACCCAGGAGGCACCACAACAGGAAACTTCAAAAAGTGAGGAGCAGGCTCCAGAAGAACTACCAGAGTGCCCCGATCATAGGCCTACCTCCTTTCTGAAAGGAAAGCCCCAGAGCATTCTAAGCCTCCTATGTTTTTACAAATATCATTTGAGTCCTTTATGTTTGATGCATTAGGTTATAAGAGTTGGTTGGAAACACTTGATGCATAGAACTATCTTATCCAGAAATATACCTTGAACCCTATGTAGGTCCAGGATCAAACATATGCTTAGCCATGCTTAGACTGGTAGAAGTCGGGTGATTTCCTGACACCTGCGAGATATAGGTGCATACCGGAGCACGGTTGGCTATATTTGCTATTGTGGAAAATTACCATGGGATGTTATCTAAGTGGAGACCGAGTGGGATCTTATATAAACATGGTGTGGGTTGGCTATGTTGATCCCGTCTGTGTCGATTAAGGATCGTACCGTTGTTAGTGCTTCTGTCGAGATTGAACTCATGCCTCTCAGTTAGCTGGCCGGATAACTCGTTTTGACCGCGAAGCCGAGTAGCTCAACTTAGGCTGAGCCTCATTCTGTTAGAGTGTGCACTCTAGATGGTAGTAAGGATGTGCGGGGAGCCAGACATAAGCCCTAGGGCAGGTCAGGCCTAAACGTCCTGGCAGCTGGTTGTCCCTGGTTGTGCGGCACTGATCGAACCCGCAAAATATGTACCTGAGTTGTACCAAAGGTGACCTGACGCGACCCCGATGGGGGAAGTGTGTGTTTATGTTAGGAATAACTGCCCAGCTGGTTGCAACCGATTCGAATAACCGTCCCTCCTAGATAGTGAGAAACTCGACTAGTCCCAGCATCGTAGTAACTGGACTATGGAATTTGATGGTTATATTGGAGATGGGAATGCTACACCGGCTATGGTTATTATTGTGATGCTACATAATGATATATCACATGTTTGGCATAGGTTAGTTGTTAATCTAGAGGTGAATAGCTATAATTGACTTGATAGCCGAATTATAAAATGTATAGTTGAACTAGTGGGTTTTTATGCAAAATATTGTCAAACTAGCTCCACTTATAAAGCCTTGCCACATTATTTTTGGTTTATGATGGGTAAGTCTAGCTGAGTACCTTCTTATACTCAGGGTTTATTTCCCCACTTGTTGCAGACAACACAGTCTTTCATGGCTATTGTAAGAATTGCTTCTGTCCTGCTGTGGATAAGGAGTAGGCCATGGGCAAGGCGCTTCTATATATCTAATCTATGATGCTTTTGTGGGATGTGATCACAAACTGGTAAGTATTTGAACAATGGTGTGAGATGTTAGTTTAAAAACTACCTTTGCTTCCGCTACTACTACTTTATTTGAACTTGGGTTGTAATAACTTTTAATTGAACTCTAATGGATGGTAATGTATTTGTGAACTCTATGTAATATGTGGCATGTATGTTGAATCATGTACGATCTTGATTGTATGTTGGTGATGAATCGAGACCCTTCGTGGTACTCGACGGACTATCGGGTTTATATGGGCTCAAGTATGATAGTGCAATCGTTTCGGTGTTTGCCATTATACTTGTGCTCTTATAAATTGGTCGGTTCTATCACAGAGGCAAGGCGATGATGTGGTCATGTCCGATGTGCATGGAGACGGCAGCGATGGCAGCGCATCCCCTGTTGGCGCGAGTGGAGGAGGTGAGGCGACGGCATGGCCCACCGACGCGCGCTAAGAAGGAAGCGGTGTGGCCTCAGCTTCAGCTCTCATCTTTGCAGCATGGCAACGCAAGGGCACGTTCGCATGAGTGATGTCGTCGTGGTCGACCATGGGCGTGGTGGAGCAAGGGCACGACACGGCTGATCAGGGGCACAATGGCATGGCGATGGCGCATCTCGAAAGCATCTTGGGCCCAGCGGGCCATTTGGTCGACCTAGTGATGAGAGTCAAACATAAGCGTATGCCAAGTCACTAGGAGAAAGACTTTTGACTGAGAGACTCCCCGACCGACCACTCTAGGATCACTCAAGAGCTATACGTATCGGGTACGCTCGCACGTACCCTCCGACCGAGGATCAGGCAGAGCCCGAGCACGCCCTTGGCCTTTGCTCGGGGCTTGGGGGCTCGCTAGAACCACGGGCTCTCGACCGACGGTAGCCTGAGCCTGATCCCCTAACTCTGCACCAGCTTGAGCCAGTGCCTAGGTAGGAATCCTATGCCTTGGGCATCATCAACCAACCTGCCGAGCATCCAAGGCTCGAGGGCTCCCCGGCGCCTCCCTGACCGATGGACACGCGGAGCGGTCGCCCACTCCTTCGACTAGGTCACGCACGCGGCATGACACAAGAGGAAAACCCCTCCACCAGCTCTAGAGGCTCGAGGGCTCCTGGGACTGCTCATCAACCCCCCAAGCCAGGCGCCCTCATCGCCAAGGAAGCCTCGAGATGGCTCAACCAGTGGAGGCCGGTCCAAGCAGATAGCCCCCGACAGTTAGAGCGTCAGGGCGAGCAGAGTCAGGCGGCGCCCAAGGCTCCTCTGACTCCACAACAACACCAGGGTCCATCCACGCCGCAGCAGCACCCTCCTGGACTCTGGCACACGTAGACCGTAGACTCAACCCCCAAACCACCTTGTACCCGACATTTCTCGGTTTATAAGGGGGAGGTCGGATCCTATAGAGGAGGAGAGGTCGAACTCACAGAGAGCAGACCACAACATTTTGAGCCCTGCCCCGAGAGCAAAGCAAGCCGAGAGGAACGAGCGAGCATTCCTCCCCCGAGCAACCCGGAAAGAGAGAGGAGCGTTCTTCTTCCTCATTGGGGAAGAAACCTCACCGCCGACAAGCCTTAGGATATATAGCACCGAGCAATCCTCTGCCAAATCTCTTTCTCTTTCATTGTAACCCCCCCGATTTGGGTGCTCTTGAATACAAAAAAACAACCACCGCTGGACGTAGGGCTCTGATAGCCTGAACCAGGATATATCGCCATGTCTTCTCTTGTGTTCTTGAGTTCACCCGAGCCACCAGAGACCCACACTCAGTGACACCCGACGAACAACGATGTTTGTCGTGGCAATTACCCCACGACAGCTGGCCTGGCTAAATTCCAGTAGGGTCGTGCCTGGGCCTCAGCCTCAGCCTCGGCAGGCATGACATGACACGATATCAGTTAACATGGTCGTGTCGGCCTAATCCTAATCGGGTCATGCCCTCAACGGGCCCATGCTGGGCTACACTGGGGCGCCCATTTGGCTATCTATACATACAGTTATAAATATATGAGTTAAAAAACAAATCTAAATCACGGAGAAAGAATATTGAGCTCAACTAGTGTCAGTGACATGAAAGTCATGCATTTGTTCACTGCTACAGAACAGGCAATGATTGCTGGCACATCACTGTCTGATAATTTAAACAGGCTATGATAGGCATGTCACTGCTGGTTTGTAAACGACAAGCCTGTTACTACCGGATTTTAAAACAACCGACGGTGATGAATAATTATCACTGCCAACAACATGACAATGATATTATCACTGCCGGTTGTTTTACAATCCGATAGTGATCCCTACACCCGAACCCAAAATTATGATTCAACCCATTTAAGTCCTATATGATCAAAAGAAAGAAAAGAAAAGGAGAAGGAAAAAGAATGATAGAAACTATATATACCGGATAAACAAATATATTGCAAATTATTTCCAGACATAGATGTTAAAACCTCAAACTAAAAAAGAAAATACAAATGGATGAGCGAGCAAGCAGACTGCACCCTCACGCTCACTTCACCGCCACTTTGGTGTGGGTGAATGGATTAGCTCGTGTCGGATAGGAACACACGGTAAAGAAGATATCTCTTGGCTGATTTTTTAATGAGTTATGCACACTATATCACTAAATAAACCTATGGCATATATATATATATATATATATATATATATATATATATATATATATATATATATATATATATATATATATATATATATATATATATAGACACACACATATGGTAAGACTATTCTGTAGCTGGCCACAGAATAACTTATTATATGGCCATCTTGATTTATGATAATGTTTGTACAAATTTACGATAATAAAAATACACATTTACAATACATGGGTTACTATAATTCAAGATGATACTTACCATAATGCTATAGTAAATCACTTACGAGGGAGTTACCATAATCTCATAAATTAGTATAGTAATTATCGTAACTCAAAGTGGCCACAGAATAACTTATTCTGCGGCCAACTACAGAATAGTATATATAATGGAATATCTGCATCGAACATTATCAAAAGAGCAATTATATATATATCGGCTCAACAGTAACCACATGGGACAAAGAAACTATGTACCAGTTGTGACAGATATGGTCATTTCATTCATACTGCGTGACACAGTACCAGTAGTGGAGTCCTCTTCATTTCCTACCCGTACATTCAAATATGCTGGGTGATTCGGCTTAGCCAGGATCTTAGCTTTGTTGCTTAGCATTGTAACAACATCTAACATGGTTGGTCGATCAGCTGCATTCTCTTGTACACACAACAATCCAATGTTCATGCACCTCATGATTTCAGTTGAGTGATGCATGGGTACCAATGAAGAATCAATGAGTTCCCTCCATCTCCCCTCTTCATATAATTGCCATGCCTGTTTGTAGTTTCATCACACAGTAATTAATGTAGATATGACACTAAACTAACAAAATGATTTTACATGCTACATGTAAATCGATAAACTTACATATCCAAGAATATTTATGAAATCTCCACGATCATGGCTACCAGAATTCCTTTTTCCGCTAAGTATCTCAAGAATGAGCACACCAAAGTTGAATACATCAGATTTGATAGAGAAGAGGCCCTTGGAGGAATACTCGGGAGCCATATAGCCACTAAAACGAAAAGTAATTAAGGATCAATGCAAATTATTTTATATGCATTGGTTGATGTGTATTATAATTGTCAATAACTAGATCAATTTGTACGATACTTACTATGTACGAACCACTCTCCTTGTAGTGCTTCCTTCATTGTTATTTGAGCTAAATATTTTTGCTAGCCCAAAGTCTGAAATTTTATGATTCATTTCACTGTCTAGAAGAATGTTACTTGGTTTAAGATCTCGATGTATAACACGCAAGCGTGAGTGCTTATGTAGGTAGAGAAGTCCTTTTGCTATCCATTCAATTATGGCTAGACGTTTGTTCCAATCCAGTAATGATTTTCTATTTTCATCTGCGAATCCATTAAATGTTAGTATAACAGAAAACCACTCAAGAAAACAATAAACTGGAAACTGTATATATACTGGAAATATCTAGGGAGGGAAATATTCTCATACGGCTGCCAGAAAGGCAGAAACGACATACTGAGGAAGTTTTCTTTCATTTTTTAACATCCTTATCATAGCAGTATCAAACCTAAGTGAAAAAAAAATGAAGATACTTACCAAAGATAAAGAAGTCCAAGCTTTTATTTGGCAAGTATTCATAGACCAAAATTTTCTCCTCTCCCTGAGAGCAACATCCGAAGAGCCTAACCAAATTTGTGTTGCAGTTTCGCTATGAGTTGTACTTCATTTTTGAACTCTACGAAACCTTGCCCTGAATGTGAAGCGAGTCTCTTAACAGCTATCTCAATTCCATCGGGAAACTGACCCTGTGAAGAAAGCAAGTATTCAAAAGTTACTTCACTGGTATTTAATTTTGCCGCAATCAGGTTCTTTGTGATGCACAAGTCACAGTTCCCAGGTAACTAGAGAAAGCAAATCTACCACATGTTGAGTCAATTCATCTTCATTAGAAGAATATATGCAGCATTCTTCATCTACAAACAGGCAACTAGCTAGCGTATCCATCGTTAACCAAACATGCAATGCAACCTTCACATATACACCATGATGACTCTATCCTGGTATGCTTGTATAGTTGTATGCCTAGTTTCATAATTAAGGACTATATAAACGTCTGACCTGCTATTTGATCATTACAAAGTATACACATGTCCTGCATATTTATTTACCTTGTAGACAGGGCCAAACCCACCTTCCCCAAGTTTATTTTCTTCAGACAAGTTATTTGTAGCCTCCAATATCTGATGAAAGTCAAAAACAGAAAACTGGAGAGCTCTGCTTCCATTTCCCAATCTAGCTCGTCTCCTTTCAAGTTGTTGTGAGTATGCTTTTGACGTAATCTAGATCCACCTGCACAATAGTCGATAATTTGATCACTTTAAATGTCTAATATAATTGCAAGAATTATATGAGAAGAGAGAGAGAGAGAGAGAGAGAGAGAGAGAGAGAGAGAGAATGTCAGTAACAATCAACTCACCTTTTCTGTACCTTCTTCTCCTTTGCCAACGGCAGTAAAGGATGAAGCAGAATGCTACTACCGCTACAGGAGGTGCAACAGACACCGCAATTACCCATGGCCTCACCCCAGATCCTAGACAAACAAGCATGCATGCATGAACAATCAGGTCATAATAATTAGCGCTCCAAAGTCCAAACGTTAAGTGTCTGATCATCAGCAAGTAGTATAGTAATCTTCTAACTGTATTGCTTGGGAACATCAGAGAACAGAACATGCATTTATTTAGACAGAAATGAAAATAGCTTGAACTTCACCACAGCATACCTTTATTTGTCGTCGGAGCCGGAAGTGGTGGTGCCGGAGCGCCGGATGACGGCGTGATCTGCATCATCTGTGCGCCGTCGAAGAACATGATGTTCTCGACCCTGAAGTTGCAACGCAGCAGGAGGACCCGCCCTGCCACTGGCGTCGTGGCGTTGAGCGTGCCGAGGATCTGCTGGAAGCACGCCATGCAGTCGCCGGCTGACAGGTCCGGCGTGCACTGCGCCAGGGAGTAGAGCGTCGGGATGGCGGTGCTGGAGGCGTCCATGTAGGCCGTGACGAACCTGCTGGGCCTGGCGGCCGCCTGCTGGGCGGTCTGCGTCAGCAGGTCCTTGACGTCGGCGGCCACCTGGGTGGCGTTGAGGCCGGGGGTGGTCGCCGCGTTGTTCCAGTAGTCGAAGAGCGTGCTCATGTCCCGGTGACGTTATAGGCCGGGACGAGGATGTCGGTACTGGAGTAGCCGACGAGGCACGTCGTAGACGCTGCCGGCCTTGGCGTAGGGGCACGTCCTCTGCGCGTACTGGAACGAGCCGTTGACGCAGCCGCTGCACCCGGTGAGGTTGCCTGTCAGATCGCCGCAGCAGAGCGCGAGCGTGTTAGGCCACTAAGATCACCGGATCGAGTGAGTCGCCACTCACAAGTCTTGTTAACCACGGTCGAGCTTGACAGATGTTGTCCGATCATATACTATAGCTAGAGATAGAAGAAGAGAGGAAAAACAGAGTATACATACATAGCCAGAGACACCAGCGTTGGCTGGAGCCCTATACAGGAGATGACAAATCTAAACTCTCTTTACTGAGTTGCACTGGCAAACTATGTATATAATTCTACTCATCTAGTTCTAGAACAGCTGTCATGCTGCAACAGTGACTAGATAACACAGCAGGGTTGACTCTGGCACCTCCTCCTACTGTGGCTACAGTGCGGCAGGAGAGCCGTTCGGCGTCTGCCTTTCACAGCGGCTACAATACCACAGTAGGGAGTCTTTTCGGCGCCGTCTTTCCTTGCTGTGTGTTCATACTAGGAAGCAGTAGATTATCTAATAATTCTTTCCCTAATTCTACTGCTATCCCTTGTAACCCCTCCATGCCAATTATCTTCTTCAGCTCCGTGAGTCGAAGACGTCCGAGCGGCTTGGTGAGGGCGTCCGCGAGTTGCCGACTAGTTTCGACGAGCTCGATGACGAACCGGATTTTTTGCGAGGGCGATGGCGGACTGGTTGTCCACTATCAGTGCTGGTGGGTGAGCTTCCACGCCGGTCAGCTCTCCCAGCAGCCGGCGCAGCCACACAACTTGGCACGCTGCTATGGCCGCTGCTACGTACTCTGCCTTGCACGTAGATAGCGCCACCACCTTCTGTTTCAGCGATAGCCATGAGATTGGAGCCGACCCGAGGAAGACGAGCACGCCAGAAGTGCTCCGTCGTCCATCGATGTCCCCCGCCATGTCTGTATCGCTGAACACAGTGAGCTGCAGCCTGCTTCCGCCTGTCTTGGGGAAGACAATCCCTTGATCCACCATCCCCCTGACGTAGCGCAACAGCCGTTTTACCGTAGCCCAGTGATCCTCTCGAGGATCCTCCATAAAGCGACTGACGTAGCTCACGACGAACGCAATGTCCGGCCTCGTGTGGACTAGGTAGTACAGACCGCCGACGATACTCCAGTAGAGTGTTGAATCCACCTTCGCTGCGGTGCTGGCCTTTGTCAGCTTCAGCCGCTCCTCCATCGGAGTCATACATGGCTTGCACTCAGTCATGCCGCTCTGCTCCAACAGTTTCGAGGCATACGCGCTCTGATCGAGCATGAGTTCCACTTTCCCCTGTCTCACCTCGATGCCGAGGTAGTAGGAGAGTGTGCCGAGATCGCTTATTCGAAAACGGGCCGCCATCTTGCGCTTGAAGCTGTCAATTTCTCTCCGCACGTGCGCCGGTGACGATCAAATCGTCCACATACACACCGACGACGAGCTCCTCCTCCCACCGTCGCCATGTGTAGAGCGCATGGTCAGTTGCGCACTGCCAGAACCCAAGCTCGCCCAGCGTGGCGTCAAGCTTGGCGTTCCACGCTCGTGGGGCCTACCGCAGCCCGTAGAGCGCCTTGTGCAGTCGGAGCACCCTGTTTTCCGCTCCCTTGACGGCGAAACCCGGAGGTTGCCTGACGAAGACCGTCTCCGCTAGCTCGCCGTTGAGAAATGCCGATTTAACATCCAGGTGATGGACACGCCAGTCCTTTGCTGCTGCCAAGGCTAGTAGCAAATGGACAGACTCTATGCGCGCTACTGGCGCAAAGACTTTCTCGAAGTCGATGCCCTCGCACTGAACAAAGTCTCAAGCGACGAAGCGTGCCTTGTGTTTGACAATGGCGCCGAGCTCATCCCTCTTGACCTTGTACACCCACTTCAGACTGATCGAACGGTATCTTGGAGGTGGATCGACGAGCTCCCATGTCTCATTTTCCTCGATCGCCTTCATCTCCTCCAGCATCGCCAGTCGCCAGTCTCCATCGCGCTCGGCCAGCGCAAATGTGGGTGGTTCCTCTGCGCTGACGAGCAGCAACTCTTAATCATTGAGCAGCCGACCTGCCAGGCCTGAGGGTCCTGTGTCGCCGACGATGTCATCCAGCCTGCGGAATCGCACCTCCTCACCTTCGTGGAAAGTATCCACGAACTCAGTGATGTCACTTGGAAGTGAGGCGAACTCGATCGGCGTCGATGGAGTTCCATGTTCCGATGGAGAGCTCGGCACAGCACCTGGAGTGCTCAGCACCCTGGTTATAGTGCTTGACACTACTCCTAGACAGCTCGTCATAACTCCTACAGTGCTCGACACCACTGTAGGAGAGCTGAGACTCGGTCTTGGAGTGGTCGGCACCACTGCAAGACCTCTTGGTTCTGCTACGGGAGTGCTCGGCACCCGTCCTGCAGTGGTCGCCACCACTGCAGAACCTCTAGGCACCACTCCTGTCATACTCGACATCCCTCCGGTAGTGCTAGGCACTCCTCCTGGAGTGCTCGGCATCCCCTCCCGAAGTGCTCGGCACTGCCCCAGAAGTGCTCGGCTCTGTTACTGGAGTGCTTGACCAGGTGCTCGACGACAAAGGTGCTGGTGAAGCTGCCAGCTTCCCCCATGCTCGGACTGTTCCAGTCCCAAGCCGCCTTCTCGTCGAACACGACATCGCGCGAGACAAGTACCTTGTCTCCGCGTGGGTCGTAGAGCTGATATGCCTTGGTACCCTCCACATAGCCTAGGAACACCATTGTTGTGCTGCTGTCCTCCAGCTTGGTGAGGATCAGCTTCATCATCCTGACGTGGCCGATGCAGCCGAATGTCCGGAGGAAGGACACGTTCATCTTGCGTCCATGCCAAGCCTCGAACGGCGTCTTGCCCTTCAGGGCCTTGGTGGGAGCGCGGTTGAGGATGAACACCGTCGTGGTCACCGCCTCACCCGTGAACCTTACCGGCATGCATTTGGCCTTCATCATAGATTGAGCCATGCCGACTGCCGTCTGGTTCCGTCGCTCCACCACGTCATTCTGTTGTGGCGAGTACGGCGCGATGTGGTGGCGCACCATACCCTGATCCACACAGTACACAGCGAACTCCACCGAAGTGAATTCTCCGCCGCGATCAGTTCTTAGCACGCGGAGCTTCTTGCCGCTCTCGGCCTCCGCGTGCATCTTGAACTTCTTGATCATCGCCGCCGCTTCGTCCTTGCTCGTCAGGAGTTGCAGCCACATGTAGCGACTGCAATCATCTACGACCAGGAGGAAGTACCGTCGACCACCGTTTGTGGCTGGCGTGATCAGCCCACAGAGGTCACCGTGGACGAGCTCGAGAGAGTCCTCCACGCAATACTTGGCCGCCTTTAGGAACGACAGCCTCCTCTGCTTCCCGGCCTGGCAGCTATCACACAGCTCACCTCCGTGCTTGATGTGGGGTAGCCCTCAGACCATCTTCTCCAGCCGACCAAGCGCGTCGAAGCTGAGATGTCCAAACCGGACATGCCACAGCCACGATTCCTCGGTGTGCCTTGCCGCCAGGCACACCGGCTGCTCTACCTTCAGGTCTAGTAGGTACAACTGGTTCAGGGACCTCTTCACCTTGGCAAGAAGTCACTGTTCTCGGTCCCTGATCCTGAGGACTCCATCCTTGATTAGTACCTCGCTACTGCGCTAATCCAGCTGACCAATGATGATGATGCTTAAACACAGCTGTGGGATGTAATATACATCCGTTAGCGCGTGGTGCTCCCCGTTCTGGCACCTGAAGATGATGGTGTCGCGCCCTTGGATAGCCACCCTTGAGCCGTCACCAAACTTCACCGTACGGTAACATCATCGTCAAGCTCGGAGAAGGCTACCTTAGAGCCCGTCATGTGATTGTTGGCGCCAGAGTCTAGGTACCATGCTCGTCGCCCACACATCCAAGGTGGACCTGGGCATGCGGTTGGTCGAGGTTGACAGCCTTCAGGGCCTTCTCAGGTCCTTCCACCATCATCACCTCTCCCTTCTCCTTGGCCTCGACGTCGTGCAGTACACAGAACATCACCATCAGGATAGTAGCCTCATCATCATCATCAGTTTGTGCCAGATGAGCCTCAGCCTTCTTCTCCTGCTTGCGATTTGGGCACTCCCGTGCCCAATGGCCCATCTTCCCACAGCGTCGGCAGGCGTTGGGGTCGACCTGCTTCTTCTTCTGTGAAGAAGCCTTACCGCGGCGTTTGCCATCGCCACCGCGGCTAGAGGAGGCTACCCCGGAGTTCCTCCGAGCAGCCCACTCCTCCTCTGTCAACAGTAGTTTGCCGCTATCCTTCGTTGTTGTCGCCTGCTCTAGGCACTCGTCCACTGCCCACAGACGCCCTGTCACATCCTCAATGGTGAGGGTGGACAAGTCCAGCATCGTCTCTATGGAGAGACCGATCTGGATGTACTTTGCCGGCACAGAGTGGAGGTACTTGGAGACTGCCTCCTCTTCGTCGATGATGACGCCATGGCTCTTCAGCTTGTTGATGAGCGTCTGCAGGCAGAGGGAGAAATCCTCTACCATTTCACCATCCTTGAACTTGAGGTTGGCGTACTCCTATTTTAGAAGCTAGGCCGTCGCCTTCTTTGCGCGGTCGGAACCGACGCGCATCGCCGCAATAGCCTCCCACGCCTCCTTAGCAGAGCTCTTCGCCCCCAATGACTTCCTGTACTCCGTCGGTACAGCAGTGAGGATAGCCGCCAACACTGACATGTCATCTTCTTTATTTTCGGTGCCCTTGTCAATAGCATTCTAGAGCCGTCGGGCTCTGAGCTTGACCTTCATGGTCACCGACCACTCTCCATAGTTGGTGCGAGTCAGCGTCGGCCAATTGGTGCCGCTGACCTCCCGCGCCGTGCGAACAACGACCTCCTGTCGTAGCTGGGCAGCCACTGCTGTCGTCCATCTCCGAACCATCCGTCATCGCCAGCGATTAGTCTGGCAACGACACTTGTACGGCTTTGATATCACTTGTTAGCCCACTAGAGCACCGACTCAGGTGAGTCAACCACTATCCAGTCTTGTCGACCACGACCGAGCTCGACAGACGTTGTCCGACCACACACTATGGCTAGAGGTAGAAGAAGAGAGAGAGAACAGAGCATATACACACAGCTAGAGACACCAGCGTTGGTCGGAGCCCTGTATAGGAGATGACAAATCTAAACTCTCTTTACTGAGTTACAGTGGCAAACTATATATACAACTCTACCCATCTAGTCCTAGAACAGCTGCCATGTTGCAACAATGACTAGATTACACAGCAGGGCTAACTCTAGCGCCTGCTCCTGCTGTGGCTACAGTGCGGTAGGAGAGCCATTCAACACCTGCCTTCCACATCGGCTACAGTCTCACAGCAGGAGGCCTTTTCGGCGTCGCCTTCCCTTACTGTGTGTTCACACTAGGATGCCGTAGATTATCTAACAGAGCGCGTACACCACGTCGCCGGGGCTTGGCCGGCGGTCGTGGTCGCGAAGAGCTGAGGCGATGAGGAGGTGTTGGCTAGGAGCGTCGTGGCGAGGAAGGTGAGGTTGGACTGGTACGTGCCGTTGGCCATGTAGTTGCCGGCGTTGCCGCAGACCTTGCCTATTGCCGTTGCTGACGGCAGCACGAGGAGGAAGCATCTAAGAACGACGAGCGGGACGCCCGACATGGCTTGGCTTTGGCTATGCTAAGGACGGGCGTGGCACGCTAGATAGTAGTACGTTATTACTACCTGCTTGTTGTTTTGCTGCTTGAGCGATTGAGGTCTCCATCACAATCACGTACGTGGAGAAGGCAAAGAAATGTTCATGCATCAGATCAGTTAAACCTTCTCTCGACCCCACGCTGCTGTTTGAGCGGCTCGGGCGGAGCCCCTCGCCCCCTACCGCCAGGCCTCCCCCTCTCCACCCCCTTCCCCTCGCCGCCGCCGAAGCGCGCCACCGATGCCCGGTGGCCACGAGGAGGGCGGTGGCGGGGCGTTTTCTGGCAGCGCGAGCGACTATGGCGGGGTGGTGGCGGCGGCGCTGCCGCCTCCGCCCTCTGGTGGTTCCGGCGTCCGCTGGTCGGGGTCTACGCGGATCCAGTGCCCCCCCGACGTGGATCTATGGCGGCGCAGCTACGGCGACGACCAAGGCTAGGGCGTCGATGCGGGCGTGGCAGTGGCTGCGGCATGGGCCCGTGCTCCTACACGGGCATGGCGGCGAGGCTGCTCCGGCCCCCTTTCCTCCGGATCCGGCCATCCCACGGCTGCAACTGCTGCCGCCCATGCGGAACCGGCCGGAACTCGCTGGTGCGGGCGGCGATGCGGTCGATGTGGCGTGGGGTCAGCGGTGGAGGGCAGGGGTGGTGTGACTTCAAGGCTCTCTGGTTCGGTTGTGCTGGATGTGGGCAAGCACCAGCGAAAGCCATGTCGGATCTGCCGGCAAGACGACGGCGATGCTTTCGGGCGTCGTCTTCCTCCTTGGAGGCGTTGTCATTGTGTTTTCCCACTCCGGCCGGCTGCAGAGGTGCGTCGGCTGTGCCATGGTGGCGTGGACGATAGCGGCTTTCTTGGATGTGTTCCAGTGATGCCGTGGTGGTGTGGCTGGCAGTAGCCAAGCAGGGACACCAGTGGTGCCATGGTGCGTGTGGCTAGAGGAACCTGGCTGCTTCTTGGCGGAGGTCGGCAATGCGTCGGCGGCGGTGCTGTGTGCCGCGACGGTAGGCGACGGCGGCAACGGCGTCTTGATAGGGTGATGCGGCGTGGCGGTAAGTCCAATTCGCATGTTGCTCGATCGGAGGGGTGGCGGCCGACGAGGCGTCGGTCGGCTGCTTGTGCGCGGCTAGCGCCGTCGATGCCCCTCTGGAGAAGCTTCTGCGGGATGGCGATGGCGACGACGGTGGCAACAAAGCTACGGTCCAAAGATCTTGGCTCGGCGTATGTGCTAGGGGCACCTCGGGCGAAAGCCTTGGCGACAGCGACGCCTGTGGGCGCCGTTTTCCTTGTTGGGGGCGTCGTGTTCTTGTGCCCCCAGCCATGTCTTCCATGGGTGAAAACCCGGTCCTTTTCTGGACAAGCGACGGCGACGCATTCGGCGTTGTACCCTTCCTGAAGGCGTCGCTGTGGAAATTCATCTCGGACGTGATGTCTCCTTCGGCGGATGTCCTCCGCCTCTCGGCGCCCGGTTGTTGCGAGACGGCGAGTTCTGCACTGAAGTCAGAGCTGCTGCATCAGGGGATGTAGCTCGGCAACGATGACACGTGTCGAACCCTCCTTCTCCGACGGTTGGGTTTTCAGCTTTAGAGGCTCGGCAATCGCCGCGGGCGGGGCATGGGATCATGGCAGGAAGTCGGAGCTGCTCTTCGCGGGGCCGTTGAGCTCGGCAACGATGACCTGCTGCAGCCTACTGCTTCGGGCCCATTGGTCTGACATCTTATGATGGGTTGTCGATGTTTTGCCATGGGAAGTCGGAGCTGCTAGCTGCTTTGCAACTATGCTCGGCAACGATGACTCATGGTAGAGTGTACTCTGTCGCGTTGCGTGGGTGGGTAACCTTTCGTGGTGTCTGGTGCCACGCTTGGCTACCTTTTGCTTGTATATAAACTTTTTTCGTCTTAATTGAAAGGCAGAGCTCCTGTCATTGTTTAAAAAAAAATGCATCAGATCAGTTGTTGCTTTCAGCAGTGAGTCAGTCAATACCATACTTTGTTGAATAATGCGTTAATTAATCACTACCTTTTCCACAGATCCGGCTGGCCGGCTAGCTATAGGTCGTACTTCAGCTGCTTAGAGAGAGAGAGAAAAAAAAGCGACAGATATCTTCATCTTCATATCTTTGCTTAGCAGGAGAAACGAAAGAATAGGAAAAACAAATTAAGGAGCCTCACATGTATCTTTGATTTATTCTCGAAGTTTGACAAATTCTGTCTTCATCATCTTGTTCCTACCAACCCTACTTGAACAAACCCCTGATAGCTTACCTCCATCGAAGTGGACTTCGTTCACATGCTCATTGCCGGCACGCTGCAAAAATGTCATTCAAAGCGCAAAATATTGTTTTATTCCAAGTCATGATCGTCACATGCAACAAAAGTTCAGTTGTCTTCATTCGTTCAGTGGTGAGTGGTGACTGGTGAGTTCATACCTTATTTTGAAACCATCAATCACGGCATCACCAGCAGGTTCTTGTAATTCACTAGGTCTTATACATGTCCCGGCCGGCAAGACATGGCGTAAACGTTCTCTCTTTCCAGCTGCCTGATAAAAACACGCTTTTATTTGGTCGTATGCTTTGATAAATTATTGCCTCATTGAACTTGTTGGTTGTTGCTATCCTGGTTATGTGATGCTATTGGGAGATACCCCAAGATAAACGCAATAATAATCTAGAAGTGGACTCTGGTCAGCTTATGTTCATAGCTGAAACGCGCCACAGACGGCGAACCAAGCATAATTTTCAGGATTATGATATACAGACCCTTTGCTTCTCAAATTAACCTAGATTCGTAAGGCATGGGTACCACAGAACTGTAAGAATTGAGCGTTTGAAGAAAGAACCACCACGAACTAGATGAGGTGGTGCATCACGAGTTGAAGAGGCCAATGTCCTCAATCAGGTGCCATCGAATATTCAGTTTATGACAAGTTCATTGCTTGACATAACCTAGTAGCTAAGCTTTCCATTATTGACCCAATATATGAGAAGGACACTTTCATTTGGGATCTATATATAAACATGGACAATTTTCTATTTGCTCCATGTATTAATATTTGATGAGCCAAGGCACGCACATTTTGTTCTCGAATAAAATTATTTGGAAACTGAAACTCTCCGATTTTTTTTCTTTGTTAATCTAGCTAAAATAAAGAAATTGAGGCGGTAATAAAAACATTGTTTTTATGATTGTAATAAGGAAATCAAACACCTCTTCTTTAATTGCAATCATGCTAATACCATGCTCATTTTCACAGACAGTCAAACAAAATTTACAGAGAGGCACCTCTGTCTCTAGAGCATGGCCTAGGGCCTCCTCCCCGATGCTGCTTCCCCCTTCAAAAAAAATTATCTAGGAGTTGTGACAGATATGGTCATATCATTTATACTACATGACTCAGTAGCAGTAATGGGTGCCTCCTCATTTCCAACCCTCACATGGAAATATGGTGGCTTCTTAGGTTCAGCCAGGATTGTGGTCGTCTCAGTGCTTAGCATGGAAACCACATCTGCCATGGTTGGTCGATCAGCTGCATTCTCTTGTACGCACAACAATGCAATGTTAATGCACTGCATCATTTCTGAGGACTGGCTCTTGTTTACCAATGAGGCATCCACGATATCAATCCACCTCTCCTCATCCCATAATTGCCATGCCTGTTTGTAATTTCATTTGAAATGTCAGTTTGATATATAGAAAATAAACAAAACAAGATACATGGTTCCGTGACTCACATATCCAACGAGATTGATAAAATCTCCACATTGATCGCTGCCAGAATTCCGTTTTCCGCTAAGGATCTCAAGAACAAGAACACCAAAGCTGAAGACATCTGATTTAAACGAGAAGATGCCCTCGGAAGCATACTCCGGAGCCATATAGCCACTAAAAATGGATTTACCATACATGTTAAAATCATTGTATATTGTTGACTTGTAATATAAATGCTCATAAATTATTATATTTCTTCAAAACTTACTATGTGCCAACCACTCTTTGTGTAGTGTTCCGTTCAGTGTTATTTGAGCTGAATATTTTTGCAAGACCAAAATCTGAAATTTTAGGATTCATTTCACTGTCCAAGAGAATGTTACTTGGCTTAAGATCTCGATGTATGACACGCAACCGGGAGTGCTTATGTAGGTAAAGAAGTCCATGTGCTATTCCTTCAATTATCACTAGAAGTTTGGACCAATCTAGCATAGCTCTTCTATTTTCATCTGCACATCTCAATTGAAAATGAGTATTACTTCATCTGGAAAGATAACCGAAATGTGTACTCGATAATTGTCTGACAAACAGAATATCAAGTAATTGTTAGTTAGTCTAGTACATCAAACAAGTATGTAAATTAAACTAGAAAAAAATTGTACGTACCAAATATAAAGAAGTCTAAGCTTTTGTTTGGCAAGTATTCATAGACCAATATCTTCTCTTCTTCTTGAGAGCAGCATCCCAAGAGCCTAACTAGATTCCTGTGTTGGAGTTTGGCTATGAGTTCGACTTCATTCTTGAACTCTGTGAAACCTTGCCCTGAATGTGAAGCAAGTCTTTTGACTGCTATCTGCAATCCATCAGCAAACTGGCCCTGGGAAGAGAACAAAGAATTAAGACGTATTAGCGATGTTTGTAGCCAAGAACGTAGGCTCTTGTACTGTTTCATCAGCCATATAACTAATTTATGTAATGACTGAACTTTCTTTAACTAATTTACCTTATAGACAGCACCAAAGCCACCTTGTCCAAGTTTGTTTTCTTCTGAAAAATTATCTGTGGCCTCCAGTACCTGTTCAAAGTCGAACACGGAGAACTCTGAATTCTTCCCATCCCAAACTAGTGCTTCCTCTCCATGCAAGTCCTGAGTACGCCTTGATCCTGCTTGTAACCTCATTTCTTTGCCTGAACATATATACCGAATTACAGATAAGAATAATCCTCTTTCATGCATGTAATTTACTGTATCTAAATGAACATATACCATTAACTGGAACTAATTTAAACAACATGATTGACCATAATTTCTGCAACTAAGTCGCATACCTCTCCTGTACCTTCTGAACCAAGGGGGGTAGAAGATGAAGCAGAGAAGTGCTACTGCCGCTACAGGAACCACAACTACTGGAATTACCCACAGCTTGCTCGTACGCCCTGATCTCGACATGATAACATGATCGTTAACTAAGGGACCTTGGGTACTTAAATTTGTCTGAGCATATATATACACACATTTAATTAGGCAGAAATTAGAACCATATATAGGCAATTAGGCATAGGAACTTTAACTTACTCTTGTGTTTCACCGGGTTCGGGGCTGGCGCTGGCGCCGACGGCCCAAGCTGCAGCATGGGGTTGCTGTCGTAGAACGCAGACGCCTCGTACCTGAAATAACACCGTATGACATGGATCTGTCCTCCCATGCGCAGGGCCATGGTGGAGTTGACCATGTCCAGGAGACGCTGGAGACACGCCAGGCAGTCGCCGGCGGATAGGTCCGGCGTGCACTGCGCCAGCGAGTACACCTTGGGAAATATCGTGCCGCTGTCCACGACGCCCGTGGCGAACCGCCGCGGCGCCGTGCTGGCCGCGAGCTGCACCGTCTCCACCACCAGCTCGTGGACGCGGCTGACGATGAGGCGCTTGTCGCCGGCGTCGCCGCCGCCGGCAGTGATGTTGTTGGGGTTCCATCGCGTGAACGGCGTGTCGTCGCCGTTGCCCCCCGTGGTATTGGAGGGCGCGAGGATGTTGTCGCCGGAGTAGACGAGCCTGCAGATCCCGCCGTAGTAGTAGGCAGGCTGGTAGCAGGTCTGCGGCGGCGGCGGTGTCACCATGTCGAACGTGCTAGCGACGCAGTCGCCACAGGCTGTGTCGTTGAGGACGTCGCCGCGGCAGAGCGCGAGCGCGTACACGACGTCGGGCGCTTGGCCGAAGGTGGCGGTGGCGAAGTGCAGGGGGGAAGAGGAGGTGTTCTTTGGGAGGGTGGCGGCGACCTGTTTAAGGTTGTCGCAGAAATCGGCGGCCACCGAGGAAGGCTTGTTGAGGCCGACGAGCACGAGGAGCAGGACGCCGGCAACGACCTGCATCGTCATGGCTCGGCGCGAGAACCTCACGTGTAGTGTGTAGTGCTTCTTGTGTTTCGTACTTTCGTTCACCACCTTCCCGGACAGATACATAAATACATGAACAACCCAGTCCATCCGTGTCGTTATCACCAGATCATCATTGACTACTTATATAGATAGAAGAACAAAACAAGAGAAAATCATTCAGAACATTTTTTTTCTTCTCCTTTCTACACTTAACTTTGAATCCGTCAATCACGCAACCTAAATTTCAATTTTTTGGATCATTCACTTGGTCTTCCCAGGTCTGGTCAGCAACGAATAAAGTAATCCACTCTCCACTGGCTTGATGTTCTTTTAACATCTACTTCTACAGTATTATATAACAACCAATTTAACATTATTCCTTATTGTTAGAGCAACTCCATAAGACTCCTTTTATCCTTCCTAGTTGTTGTTGTTAGGAATAGTAATTTTAGTGAAAAAAAAAATCCTCCAACAACTTTTTGAATTGGTCATCATCCAAATATAGCCATCATCTATTCTAGATTTCTCGTTAGCTAAAATCTGTAGTGATGATTTTTATGCAAACTACCTGCAAATATCTATTTTTAGCTAGAAATCTGCAAAAATAGATTTTCATCAATACAAGACTACCTGCGAGGCCCCCCACTAGCAGATCAGCAATACAGAATAGCCTTCGCTGTTGGGCTTGGGCCTGCCCCCTCTTGTCGGTCCGTCACTGAGCCCAGCTTTGATTCCCTCCTCACATTCATCTCCAATTCTGGAATTTGTCACCTGTGATTCCTGAGATTTTACTGGCTTTGCCATTGCAACTTTATTCGAACATGCTTTATCTTCACCCAATCGGTGTCAAGTGCAAAAACTGGTGCTGGCGGGAGATGTTTTCTCCTCTGTTTCATTAATTATTCATCCAGATGACTGGATGAGTATGTTTTCGGAAGCCCAGTGGATTCTGGAGTTGGTCTCGTCAGAGATGGTTTCCTTCCTTCCTGATCATCTCCCAAAGCTCTGCTATCTCAACAATCGATTTCTCCACCTCAACTCAGTAATTCCTCATCATCACCTTGTCAGGAACGGCAAGGGCAAGGCAAGGAAGCGGAGGGCGGTTACTGTTGGGCGTCCGACAACGGAGAAGCTGGCGCCGTTAGCATGGGGTGACGGTGATTAGCTGTTAGGTGGAGTCGGTGGAAGTAATGGCCGTGACGGCCAGGCAGGGTATAAGTAGCGCCTGTAACCGCTTTGCTCTGGAAATCAAACTTCGTCTGCTCCCATTCTCTGTTCTTGCTCTTCCCAATCTCCATTCCGATTCTAGTTATCGTCGCGATTCCTAGCAGAACCGTGACAATTGGTATCAAAGCCGTCGATCGAGTTACCTGGATCGCGTTTGTAATCCCTGTCGGCAGGCAACGCTGTTTCTTCACCTCGGTGAATTGATTTAGCGACGCCAGAGGTCCGAGCCGAGGTTGAACGGGTCGGTGCTCATCGCGGAGTTCCAGCGGAATCGGTGGTGATCGCGAGTCTGGCGCCGAAGCAGGGACCGTCCAAGTTCCAGAAGGACATGGCCCAATTGGTGGAAGGCCTCTCGTCCCAGCTGGGCGAGATGATGAAGCAGTTCACGGGCTTCCAGAAGATGTTGCAGAGTACCATGGACTCATTGGACACCATCAGGACATGGCAGGCGACCGAAGACACGGCGTTCGACGAATTGCGCGAGAAGGCGCGGGTACGGCGACTACCCTGGACGCGGTGACCAAGCGGGTGGAGCTCGCGGCGTCGTGCGTTGATTCGATTGAGGCGCGGTTGACGACTACCGTGCAGCCACCTCCGATCCATACTACACCACCGTTGGGGAACCTCGACCTCAACACCTCGTGCTCACCTGCGATGGATGGGGAGCGGGCCAAGGGCCACGGCGAGGACTGCGGCGGGCTCCTCGGACCCCGGCCACAGGACAAAAACAAGGGTACGCATCCAGTTACACACTCCCTTGAACCCCTACCTCTGATGAGATCGTGCATGCAAATTTTCGTTCTCCACCTTTTCCCAAGTTGGATTTTCCGAAATTTGATGGCGATTTTCTGCGTGCATGGCGAAACGAATGCGAGATGTTCTTTGAGCTTTATGCCGTGCATCCTTCATTGAAGACAAGATTTGCTGCTCTGAATTTCCGTGGGGTGGCCAAGACTTGGTTACAAACAGTTCAGAGGAACGGGAGGATAGAGGATTGGGCTCAGTTGTGTGATCTGGTGATGAATCGGTTTGACAAAAACCAGTATCAGCTCTTGCTAAAGAGGTTTGAGGTGCTGAAGCAGTCTGGGTCAGTGGATGATTACCAGGCTGAATTTGAGAAACTGGCTCAGGGCATTCTGTTGTACAATAGTAACAATGATGATACTTACTTTGTCACAAGGTTTGTAGCTGGGCTTAAGGAAGAAATTCGCTCAGTTATAACACTTCACAGGCCCAAGGATGTTGACACAGCAAGTGCTTTGGCACTCCTTCAAGAGGAAGAGTTAAGCAGAGCCAAGAACAAGTTTGCTGTGGGCAAGGAGTTCTCTAAGAGCAATTCAAGGCAAGGGTCTGACCGAAGCAAATGGTCAGAATCAGATAAGAGCAAGGGAGATGGTCAACCAAAAGAAGCTGAGGATAAACTGGCTGCTCTCAGGGATACGAGAAAGAATAGCTTATGTTTCAAATGTGGGGCTAAATGGAGCCACACTCATAAGTGCCCTGCCCAAGTACCCTTACATGTGTTGGAGGAAATCTTGGATGCCCTGGAACCAGAGGAATCTGATAGCAGTACAGATACAGTAGAGGAAGAGGAAGAAGAAACTGTTCTTGCTGTCTCTCAGTCTGAGATTGCAGAAAAAATCAAGAGAAGGACTATGAGGATCTGTGGCACTATTGACAAGCTCAATATACTGATTCTCATTGATTCTGGCAGTGTAGGCACTTTTATTAGCACCCAGTTAGCTCAGCAGCTACAGATGCCAACAGTGGCTTCCTCTCCTATGCAGTTGGTTGCTGCAGATGGTAGTCCCATGCTGTGTGATCAGAGGATCCCAGATTTGCAATGGTGTTCTCAGGGGCAAACATTTACATCTTCAGTTGGTATTCTTCCTCTGAAGTGTTTTGACATGATACATGGACAGGGTTGGCTTGAGGATCACAGTCCTATGTGGGTGCATTGGGGCAAGAAACTAATGAAGTTTACACTCAATGGCAAAAGAATCACTTTACAAGGCTTGACTAAAGAACCTCAGAAGTGTGTTTCTGTTGGGAGCCAGGGCTTGAAGGGGCTGCTGAACAGACAAGCTCTTACACATTGTCTACAGTTCAAACTAGCCTATACTGAGAGTACTGATCCTGATTCAGTGGTTATGCCAGTTACTGAAAATGCCCAGTTACCAGAGAGTGAGACATTGCTTCAGCAGTATTCTGATATTTTCAAAACTCCAACTACATTACCCCCACCAAGGCCAGGAGCTCAGCCAGTTAATATCAGGGCTTACAGGTACTCTCCTGCCCAGAAGACTGAGATTGAGAAACGACTTACTGAGATGTTGGACAATGGAATCATTAAGCATAGCTCCAGTCCTTATGCCTCTCCTGTGTTGCTGGTAAGAAAAAAAGATGGGTCCTGGAGATTTTGTGTGGATTACAGGCACTTGAATGCTCAAACAGTCAAAAATAAGCAGCCAATGCCCATAGTGGAAGAACTCATTGATGAGTTAGCAGGAGCACAATAGTTTTCTAAATTGGATTTCAGGGCAGGATATCATCAGCTATATATCCACCCAGAAGATACACATAAGACTGCATTTAGGACACATAATGGCCTCTATGAATTTTTTGTGATGCCATTTGGCCTAACTAATGCACCAGCAACATTCCAAAGCATCATGAATTATATTTTTGCAAGTTTGCTCAGAAAAGGGGTCTTGGTATTCATGGATGATATTCTCATATACTCTTCTACCCTGGAGGAACACTTGGTTTTGCTCCAGCAAGTTTTTGATATCCTGAGAAGCCACCAGTTTTATCTCAAGCTCTCTAAGTGTTTCTTTGCACAAACAGAAGTTGAATATTTGGGACACTGCATTTCTGGGAAAGGTGTGGCCACTGAGCCCTCAAAGATATCTGCTGTCCAACAATGGCCAAGACCACAGAATTTGAAGCAGCTCAGGGGATTCTTGGGTCTCATTGGTTACTACAGGAAGTTTATTAAGAGCTATGGTATGATCAGCAAGCCCTTATCTGATTTGTTGAAGAAATTTGTACCCTTCCTGTGGACCAGTACCAGTGAGGAAGCCTTTCTCACTTTAAAAGATGCCCTAGTCCATGCTCCTGTGCTGGCTATTCCAAATTTTGAGAAACAGTTTGTGATAGAAACTGATGCTAGTGATGTGGGCTTTGGGGCTGTCTTGATGCAAGAAGGACATCCTGTGGCATTCTTGAGTAAGCCTGTCATTTCTAGGAATCAAGCCTTATCAACTTATGAAAAGGAGTGTATGGCAATAATTCTAGCTGTGGACAAGTGGAGATCTTACCTACAGCATCAGGAGTTCATTATCAATACTGACCACAGGAGCTTGCTACACCTCACTGAACAAAGAATTGCTACCAAGCTGCAGCAGAAGGCTTTACTCAAACTGATGGACCTGCAGTTTAAGATTATCTATAAGCAAGAGGTGAATAATCAGGCTGCTGATGCTTTATCCAGGTGCTGTCATAATGATTCAGTCAATTCTGTCATGGCTGTATCAGTATCCAATCCAGCATGGCTGGATAGAGTTAGACAAGGGTATCAGGATGATCCAACAGCTCTCAAACTGCTGGAAGATTTTGAACACTCTAATGGGTCAGTTGGCACTTTTGCTCTCAAGGATGGGTTGGTGAGACATAAAGGAAGGATTTGGCAGGAGATAATACATTTGCTCATCAGCATGTGATGCAAGCTCTGCATAGCAGTGGTATAGGGGGCCACTCAGGATTTCATGCCACATACTATAGAATCAGGCAGTTATTCACTTGGTCTGGGATGAAGAAGTCAATTAAGGAGTACATTCAATCTTGTTCAGTATGTCAGCAAGCCAAGGTTGAGCATGTCAAACAACCAGGTCTGTTACAACCATTACCCATACCTGAGCAAGCCTGGAAAGTAGTGTGCATGGATTTTGTGGAGGGTTTGCCTAAGTCCCAGAGATTTGACACCATCATGGTGGTGATTGACAAGTTTACCTAGTATGGCCATTTCATTCCCCTAGCACATCCATTTACAGCTCTACAGGTTGCACAAGCCTATATGGACAATGTCTATAAGTTACATGGTCTTCCTGAGAGCATTGTTTCTGACAGAGATAGAATTTTCACAAGTGCAGTGTGGAGAGATCTGTTCAAACTCACTGACACTCAGCTCATCATGAGCTCTTCTTACCATCCACAAACAGATGGTCAAACCGAAAGGTTGAATCAATGTCTGGAGGGATTCTTGAGGTGTACTGTGCATTCATGTCCCAAGTAGTGGGCTAAATGGTTGTCAATAGCTGAATTTTGGTATAATACTAGCTATCATTCAGCTTTGGGCAGGTCCCCTTTTGAGGTATTGTATGGTCACACTCCCAGGCACTTTGGTATCACCAATGATGTGCAGGCTCATGCTCCTGAGCTGGATCAGTGGTTGCTGGAAAGAAACCTGCTTCAGGATGTTATTCAGCACCAGTTACATAGGGCTCAACAGAGAATGAAGCATTATGCTGATCAACATCGTTCAGAAAGGGAATTAGCTGTTGGGGAAATGGTTTATCTGAAATTACAACCATATATTCAATCCTCAGTAGCGCCAAGGTCTAATCAGAAGTTGAGTTTCAGGTTTTATGGCCCATTCAGAGTGCTGGAACGGATTGGTGCTGTGGCGTATCGGTTGGAGCTCCCTGATGCTTGTCGGATACATCCTGTGGTGCATATTTCCCAACTCAAGCGCCATGTTCCACCATCAGTTACTGTGGAAGATGATATCACGGCGGTGCCTGACGATCCAACCCAACAGCCTCAACCTCTACAGTTCCTGGCAAATAGAATGATTCAGAAGGGTGCTTCTACTCTTTCTCAAATCCAAGTGCGATGGTCTGAACAAGCTCAATTGGGAAGAGGCAACTGATTTACGCCGCCGATTTCCAAATCATTCAGCTTGGGGACAACCTGCATTTCAAGGGAGGGGCAATGTCAGGAACGGCAAGGGCAAGGCAAGGAAGCGGAGGGCGGTTACTATTGGGCGTCCGACAACGGAGAAGCTGGCGGCCTTTAGCATGGGGTGACGGTGATTAGCTGTTAGGCGGAGTCGGTGGAAGTAATGGCCGTGACGGCCAGGCGGCGTATAAGTAGCGCCTGTAACCGCTTTGCTCTGTAACAATGAACTCTGAACTCTTCTCTGAATAGAAACCAAACTTCGTCTGTTCCCATTCTCTGTTCTTGCTCTTTCCAATCTCCATTCCGATTCTAGTTATCATCGCGATTGCTAGCGGAACCGTGACACACCTCTAAACCACGAATCTGCTTGCATGATTGCGCAACAATCTGTTGTTTTCTGGATTCATTCAAACACCCATCTCAGTTAAGACCAGAGATTGCCGGATGGCTCACAGGTCATACTTTAGAGGCATCTTCTCCGGTCCTTGCTTTCTCTGATCTTCCAAGTGCCCTTTTATAGCTACTCCTTGTTGATCTGTACCTCCAAAGGCGCCGAGGTGTCAGGGTAAACACAATGTCCATGGGCGAGGCTGTCTCAGCTGGAGTGGATCCAACAGAGACAATTGAAGCTACAGTATAACGACCACTGAACAGTGGTAGAAGCTGCACCGAGGGAACTAGGGCTTGCTAACTTCTTTGACCACCATGCATCCATTTGCAGATAAACATGTGAAATTATGTCCCATAACCTATCAGTAATGATGCAACACATATGTCCTATCCTCTGTTTCAAATTGTAAGTCGTTTTAGTTTTTCAAGTCAAATTCTCTAGCTTTGACCAAGTTTAAAAAAATATATATTAACATCTAAAATACCAAATAAATGCATTATCAGTAAATTGTCACGATGAAAACCTGTTTACAGAAGTTGACAAATTCCCATTCTCCCAGGATATATAAACTAAACTGAAAGAATTATGCTAGTTGCAACAAGCTAAAAATGCTTGAACTATGGTATATACACAGCTTCGTAAGGAAATAGAAGAAAATAGTTAGTAGAGGTTGCTTTGAGGTACAGATATATGTACCCACACCTGAAATGACAGGCTTCTCATTGTGTTTTCAAATGCACAATCAGACAAAGAAACTTGTTCCAGCATCCTGAGACCAACCAGTGACTTTGTACAGTTGTACCAGCATTATGCTGATATTCCCTAACTAGTCTAAAACTTCACTGAAAGTGGACAGGTTATTGAGGATGCAGTCTGATTTCAACTGATGACCTCCACATGAAGACAAAACTGTCGTAAGCACAAAGTCATCAACATCATACCCATCTTGCTGCATTAGGTACATGTATTTTAAAGCCTCTTCACAGAGGCAATTCTGAGTAAATCCTGTAATCATCACTTTCCATGTCACTAAGTTGTGCTCTGGCATGGCATCGAAGACTCTTCGAGCTTCATCAACTTTCCCACACCGCATGTACATATCAATCAGTGAGCATCCCACAGACATTTGAGAAAGCTTCGGTCTTGTTAACAACACCATGGATCCTCCTTCCATCTCGCAGAGCCTCCAATCTGGCACAAGCTCTCAAAGCTGAGGAATAAGTGTAAGTATTTGGTGCCACACCGTCCCATAACATCTCATCTAATGATTTCAGCGCTTCAACATTATGGCCAAGATTGTTATAGCCAGAAATCATAGCTGTCCATGCGACAGCATCACGGTCAGGCATCGCTCCTAGAATTCTTGCAGCATAAGTATGTTCCCCACATCTGGCGTAAAACCAAACAAGCGTACTCCCAATCTGAAGATTCTCTTCCATACAGTTCTTTATTATCTGTGCATGAAGTTCTTTTCCAAGATAAATTCAGCCTGTTCGCTGGTTGGTTTCTGAGCTGATAAGCCCGGCTGGTGCTGGTTTGTTGTGAGAGGAAAACTCTGTTGGCTGGCTGATAAGCCCTGGCTGAAACCAACAAGCGAACAGGCTAATTGACTGCATAGAGCCACAAGCACTAAGGAGGCCAGCAACAGTGAGGTGGTTAACAAATACTCTGCGCATCTTCATCTTTCGGAACAACAAGACAGCTTCTTCACCACAGCCACTTTGAGCGTATCCAGAGATCATTGATGTCCATGTAATAGTGTTTCTTCTTGGCATCTTATCAAACACTGCTTGAGCATCAAATAGCTCAAACGGTTAGGTGACCCAGCGGCACTCCTCAGGTCCTGGATTCGACTCCCCGTGGAAGCGAATTTCAGGCTGAGGTTAAAAAAATCCCCTCGCCCGTCCCCATGTGCCAAAGCGCAGTGGAAGGCCCCGGCCCGGTTCTCACAGGGTAACGGTGCCTCCTGCGTCAGGATGGGGGCGGAGGTTCGGGGGTTTTCTTGATCTGTGTGAGAAGATCTTCTTCTTAAAGGGAAACCCGGGGGCCGTCATAAACCCCCGTAGGTCAAGTTTTTTTTTAGCATCAAATACCTCACCACATCTGGCATACAAAGTGACAAGTGCGCTCCCAACATGGATATCATATTTGTACAGCCTCTTCACAATCGCACTATGCAACTGCTTCCCGAATCTTAGAGCCTTCTCCTCTGCGCAAGCCTTGAGGGCGCTGCAAACAGTGAACTCGTTGGGGCGGAATCCCTCAGACACCATTGTTGGAAACATGTGAAGAGCTTTGTCACCATGCCCATGCTGCACATAAGCCGTGATCATTGTTGTCCATGATACAATATCGCGGGAAGCCATCCTATCAAATACAGTTGAAGCAGCGGCAACATCACCACACTGAGCATAGAAGTGTGCGACGGCACTATCAACTATCATATTGCTCCAGCCACCCTTCACAACGCAACAGTGGACCTGTTGCCCCAACCTGGCATCACATCGCTCCCCACAAGATTTCAACAGGCAAACAAAAGTCAAGCTGTTACCATGGACGCCAGCGGCCAGCATATCCATCAAAAGCCTCACAACCTCACCGTGGCGGCCAAGCTTCTGATACCCGTTCATCATTGCCGTCCACGACACGACGCTCCTCTCGCGCATTCCGTCGAACACCTTCCTAGCATTAGCAGCCTCGTCGAACCTCACATAAGCGCTGATCAGATTGTTGGACACGAACAACCCCAGGCTGCCGAGCGAACGCAGGGCAGCCGCATGCGCTCGACGTCCCCGCTCTCCGGACGTCGAGCGCGCTCCGGCAGAAACGTAGCCAGAACGCGACCGCCTCGGCGTCCGGCAGCGACGTCCGGCAGCGACGGCGCGGCCGAACAAGGCAAATCCTTTCTCGGGATTTTATCCGCAGGTTCCCCGTAGCCATCAGCCCGGCGCAAAGACTGGTTCTTGGACTTGAGAACCTGCGCCCTGACGCGGTGGAACTTGCTCTTTTTGCTCCTCCGCTGCTCGCCGGAGCTGAGCATGCTCCGCGGCAAGCAGCTCGGGTGAAACGGCGAGCGCGGAGCACAGGTCTGGATTTGGCGGGGAAAAGGACAGCAGCATAGTAGCATCTGGACCTCCTCCTCCCAGTTCCTGCGCGCGCCTGGACTCGGAGGGAGAAGAGACGAGCACAGTGAAGGCGCGACCAATCAGGAAGAGGGAAGTGGGGAGAGCCCGCAACGGGGGAAATTCGCTGGTGGTAACGGCGGGAGAGGTACTCGCCGCCGCCGGCTGCCGGCGAGGGGGTGCGGGATGGGAAGCTGAGTGGGTGAGCTGATTTTGATTGGATTTTGTGGGAGAGTTTGTTTGTTTGTGTGTTTCTTTTTTTTTTAACAGGGTGAGTGGTCAGTTGTCACACTTTGGCCTTTTGACCTTCAAGCGATGGTAGTAGCCCTTGCATCTGAGTCCGAGGGTAGATGGACAGAGTAAGGGCGTGTTTAGCTCCAAAAATTTTTGGCTTTTGATTACTGTAGCACTTTCGTTTGTATTTGATAAAAATTATCCAATTATGGATTATTTAGGCTTAAAAGATTCGTCTCACGATTTCTCAGCCAACTGTGTAATTAGTTTTTTTTTCATCTACATTTAGTAGACCATGCATGTACCGCAAGATTCGATGTGACGGGTACTGCACAAAATTTTTTGGATTTTGGGGGAAACTAAACGGGGCCTAAAGTGAAGTCGTGACTTGATTTAGCAAAGTCACGGCCCTTCCCCTCTTCGTTTCGTTTAAATTTGGTTTATATTGATGTTTATGTTAAAATGCTACGAGAGAAAAAACACCGTTCATTCGCTAAAAATATGACTAAAGTAGCGCAGCTGAACAGAAATTCCTGCAGCGGTCACGGCAGCCAGCGCATGGCCAAGGCAGCCGCCGTGTTAGCAACCAATTGCACCAATGCTTGTATTGAACCGATAAAATCCGATACAAGTGATCTGCGTGAGATAGAGTTTGGGGAAGGAAGCACCGGCAAGGGAATCGAGAGTAGGAGAGCAGCAAGTTCTAGAGATAGACAATAATCAGAGATACTACATGAGAAATTGAGGATCTAGAAGCCAGAAGGGGAGGGAGAGCGACGCCATGGAGGAAGAAGTTGGACATCTGGTATTTTATTCATTCCCCTGCTACTTCGATCTGCATCTCCTTTGTATGCTTCTTTCATGGGCGCATAGTCCATCTTGGCAGCTCGGCCCATAACACATCGCCAGTAATTGTGATCATCCCTAACATTCTCCCCTCATTAAGACTCGGCTTGCCCCCAAGCCGATACAGCAGGAAGTTCAGGTGGGTACAACTCTGCCAGGATCCCAAGGCATTAGCGAGTCAATAGTCCCTGCCAAAGAATTACCACAACCCACAAGGTCTATCACCATAATATAATTGAGCGCCAGACGAATCTCATGGTTACTGCTTTGTAAAACTGTCACCGTGAGAAAATCCATTGAAAATTGAAATTGTCCAGAATAGAACGCAATCTCGCTGAATCCACAAGTTGAAATATCTTCTTTGAGTTGCACCTGCCACGTGCATTCCAGTGCATCAGAAACCAAATACGAGAACGATGTTATAAATGCCCAATGGTTGCGTTTGATTTGAGCACTAATGTGGACGAAATGCTTTTTTAGACAAGGGAGTATTGATTAATATCCCAGCATCTGTATCAATCGATAAAGATAGTTGTTCGTTATTACAACCATGACACTGTCCGAAAAGATACCGAAGCGACCAAAACAAACGTTCGACACATCCATAGCACTAATCAAATAAAAGGAAGTCTATTACTAAACCGCCAACCATATGAGGCGAAAACTCCATCGCTGTCGTCTCAAGCACACGGCACCCCAATTGTATCCGGGCCTTTCCTCCTCCTTTTGCAGCAGCGCCCAAAAGCGAATCCAATGCGTCCATGTGAACACTTGTTATAAGATGTCTCAGCCATTGCCAATAAAAAACAAGGATGCTACACTTCTGCTGCTTTGAATCTTTGACTGGTACACATTTCTTCCATGGAACTGAAGCCGTGGAAAGCTCTACAGAAGTGAACCAAAATGATAGCTGTTCTTGTTGAGAGAGGCATCCAACTTTATAATCTTTTGATTTCGGAATCTGATGCAGCAAGACAAGGAGTCGAAGAACCTGCGCAGCTATAGTATTTAACACTCCACTAAGGATCGTCACTGAAAAATTACTTGTGCATTGGACCACACTCGCCAAACAACCATTTAGGCAAACCACAATATGCATCCATCTGAAATTTCGGCAACCTGCAGGTGGTGGCCATGGGAACAACAATAACTGAATTGCATAGTTATGAGGAGAGAACGTCCTGTAAAACATTTTTCAAGCTGAGTAGGAGAGCAGCAAGTTCTAGAGATAGACAGTAATCAGAGATACTACATGAGGAATTGAGGATCTAGAAGATGAAAGAGAGCGACGCCATGGAGGAAGAAGTGGGAGTTCTGGTATTTTTGTTCATATCCCCTGCTACTTCGATCTGCTTCTCCTTTGTATGCTTCTTTCATGGGCCCATAGTCCATCTTGGCAGCTCGGCCCATAACGCATCGCCAGTCCATCACTGTGATCATCCCTAACACGCCGCGTGCGTCCAACAACGCCCGGCTCCTAATTTGTTTTATTTAGTATTACATTTCAAGAAAAGTCTACAATTCAGTCTGAACTAAGCTCCATAATTTGTAGCATTGTAATAGAAAACATATAAATTTTGGCATCAGGGAATTGCAATGGCGTATCATAAATGCACAGAAATTTGTCACACGAGCTGAAGTCAAAAGAACAAAACTCCAAATCCAAATGTCCTTAAGCCTTTAACAGGGTATTGTTATTGATCGCATTGGCCTGAACCAATACTTAAAAGCAGTAGACTAAAGCTGCTCTAGCAGATGTGAGTTGGTAACAAAGTATATTCATGCGCAGACAAGCTATCCAGTTTTCCACGACATGAGTCCATCCAAACTGAAAGTAAGATCCAGGTGAACCAAACGTGCGTATGACTTGTTCCAGTGACTGATGCAAATGAAATCTATTGCGAGATACTGATGTGAATCTCATCAGGTTCTATGCCATTCTCAGTCAGAAGCTCCACCAGGTTGTCGAGCACAGGATCAAGTTCTTGAACCCCCCAGCAAACAATATCAACGCTATCAAGGTGCTCACAGCTGAACGACCTTTCTTCTAGCTCCCCAATGAATCTCTGATGTGTATGGCCAACCTGAAATGTGAGAAAAGACAAGTTTCACTTTGATGGCACATGCATCAACTTTTGTACAAGGATCAATTAACATGTGGAGAGAGCCATGTACCCCTCTGAGTTTCAGAGTTAGATTCTCCAGACTAGGTGAGTTCTGAAGGAAGACTATCAATGGATAGAAGTCTGGATGCAGACACCATTGACTGAGTGTCAGGGTTGTAAGATTGTTGAATTTTGGGCACCACTGTATATTTCCCATATTCAACTGCAAAAGGTTCATAGGATTATGACATGATAAAGAATTCCATGTTTTATAAAACATTCATGAGTTCAGCAGAGTTGTCAAAATAATTGAAACAAGCTAAAATTACGTGCCATATAGTTTGGATTCTTCGGTGATAATATCTTCAGAATACAATATCTGACAAAGGTCACACTAAACACAAATCTTTTTGATAATAATAGTTCACATTACATTATACTCTGCCTATTTTCCTAAGTGAGATTCAACCATCTAGAGGCTAGAGCACATATATTTGGTAACCATCAATTATGATAAATAACTTTAGTGCAAGCCAGTCAGCTACACTTGTGAAAGTATACTTGGAATAGGTGACCTAGCTATGTACTGCATTCTACTGATCTGATTGTAAGTATAGGGATGCACTTACTGTTTGTAATATGTGGACAAAAGTTAAACACCCCCCTGCCCCCCTATAGACTAGATGCATTACAGCTCTTGCCACATGTATATCAAAGTTCCTTGTATCAAAACACCAACTAAGGCCATATTACACAAACTTTTGTAAACCTACAAATGAACTGAGTACGAGAACTAAATTGTGTAATATTATCAGTTGAGAGCATTAATCGTCCTCTAGGTTCTGGCATCAAAATAAACTGTGCAACACTTGATTTTGCAAAGAGATAAAGACTATACACCATGCTTAGGTCTCTGATTTGACTCATAAATATATGCATGGATGCAGAGTGTTGAATCAAAAAGCATACCATATGTCTGTTGTAACTGAAGTTTAAATCAGTGATACCAGTGATGCTCTTGAGGAACTGACGGATATCATCAACCTCAGTATGATAGGTATTGAGTACAGCAAATGCTCTCTCCAGTGATTTCATGTTCTTCAGCAGAGGTATTCTTCGATAAGTAAAGTAATTGAGGTGGACGAGGCTGGGAATCGAAATAGAGCACTGTTCTTCAAATGTGTAGTGACAATCAATACCCATGGTCAAAACCTTCAGCGTCTTGGAGGTGATCTCAACATCAGAAATGTCACAGGTATGTAAGATAAGATATTTCAATGCTTTACAGCCTGTTCCGAGTTGGCAAAAGAAACCAGGGGGCAAGATAACACTCGTAAGATGCAGCCTTCTCAAGAAGCGTCCAGGAAGAAACACCACGGGATCCAGCCGCAAGCTATTGTCCCGTACCCAAACCATGATAGATCGAGCATTGCAATGTAGAGCATGGCAGATCCATAGGTTAGCATCTTCTGAATAGTCATCAGAGTCCCAAGGCATGTCATACCAAAGCTCGAACTCATCCAAGGCAACTGGGTTACGGAGCATCAAGAAACGGTTGAGAAACTCCTTGAATAGCACGGTGTACTCCCCGTACTCATCAGACATGTCCTCAAACTCGTCGGGCGTGGCGTTGATGCGGGGCACCGAGCGCCAGAGGTTGCGCCACTGCAGTGACAGCACGCACGTCTGCACGACCTGGCGGGCATTCAGGTAGGACAAGATGAGGAGGAGTATGTCATCGGGCAGGGCATTGATCCTGCACATATCGCCAGGAACGCGCGGGTCGCCTGACATGTCGCCCGTGGCGTCGGGGTCACTGGGGCATTCCGTTGAACAGGTGGTGCTCAGACAAGCTGCGGCAAGCAGGCGAGATGAATTATGGAGACATGGATCCGCAGGTTCGAACAAGAACTGGGAAGGAGTAGAAAAGCACGAACGCGTGGAGATTATGGGGATAGAAATGGAGGGAATCGAAGAAGATGGAAGGGAGAGGAAGGGGAAGTTGGCAAACCTGGGTGCGGCCCGTGCGCGCCGTGCCCAGCCCCGCCCAACGTTGGAGATGGAAGTAGTATTTTTCTCAACCCACTTAACCAGTCGAAGCCGATTCAGCCGAAACGATGTGGCTGGACGTGCCTGCTTGGCGTTTGAGCGAACCATCTCCCTATTTCTGTACACGAGTTTGAATGCAAGGCCGGCCGTAGAGCCAGCTTTTAAGCTCATTAATAAAAAAAAGGACATGCCCGAGAAATGTTCCGGTTCCGGTACTGGCTAAGGGCGCGTTTAGTTCCCAAATTTTTTGGGTTAGCTACTGTTGGGATATTATAGCATTTTCATTTGTATTTGGTAATTAATATCTAATTATGGACTAATTAGGTTCGAAAATTTCGTCTCGCGATTTCTCACCCAACTGTGTAATTAGTTTTTTTTTCATCTACATTTAGTACTCCATGCATGTGCCGCAAGATTCGATGTAATACTTTGGGTTGAAAATTTTTAGAATCTAAACAGGGCCTAAGATACGGTCCCCGTAAGGGACGGTTTGAAACACGAGATTATTTTTTTTTTTTTGTTTCAACATTTTTTTTCTACAAAATTAGATTGATACTTATAAAATTCCTATACAAAATCTGTGGAATTTCTGTGTTTCAAACAGTCCATAACCCGGTTGTCTTTGGACTTTGGTGAAATTTTTTCTTTACAGCCTGTTCCGAGTTGGCAAAAGAAACCAGGGGGCAAGATTTTTTTCTCACACAAGCCTTCTCAAAAGACACAAAGGGTAGTTAAGGTAGTGGCAGATCCAAGGTTAGCATGACCATTTATCTCTTTTGGAAAGAGAAATGCTAACCTTCAACCGAGTGTTTTAGAAGAAATCGACACACGATGAGGAGGAGCATGTCATCGGGCATTTCGCCAGGAACAACATGTGGCCGTGGCGTCGGGGTCACTGGGGCATTCCGTTGAACAGGTGGTGCTCAGACAAGCTGCGGCAAGTGAATCATGGAACATGGATCCGCAGGTTCGAGGAGCACGAACGCGTGGAAGGATAGAAATGGAGGGAATCGAAGAAGATGAGGCCCTGGGTGCGGCCCGATTCGTGCCCAGCCCCGCCCAACGTTGGAGATGGAAGTAGTCAACCCACTTAACCAGTCGAAGGATTCAGCCCTCCTCCGTCCCATCGGAGACAAAGACGACATCATGCCGAGAAATGTTCGGTGGCTAGGGTTCCAAATGAGCCTCTCCTCCTCTTTCTTCTCTAATTAGGTTCGGACTCCGGGTATATAGAAGAAGGGTCCCGTGAGGGAGGCTTTTTTTTTGCAACATTTTTTCTACAAAATTAGATTGATACTTATAGTGGGGATGGTGGTCGGGCGGTTTAGGGGAGCCGGTGGTGGCGGCGGCTCTTTTGGGCTAACCTTCAACCGAGAGAGGCTCGCCAAAGTTGGAGAAGATGGCGGAAAGAAGGTTGCCGTCGAGCTCACGGAGTTAGAGAAGAGATGGAGACAAAGACGACAATGGCCAGGGCGGGGAGGGGGAAGGGGTAGAGAGAGGCCGCTGAGACCCTACCGCTGGTGGGGATGGTGGTCGAGCGGTTTAGCGGCGGGGTGGTAGAGGAGGAGGAAGAGAAGCAGTAAAAAAAAATCAGGTGTGGGTGATGGGTGAAACACAAGGATATGAAATAGATAGAGTCTTTAGAAATAACTGAGTTTTCATATGGTCCACGGGATCACGTCGGAAGTTAGTTTTGATAGGACCTTTTTCATCTTTTTTTTTTAAATACGGTATTTGAGCTTTTGTTTTCTGCAAAACAGAGTGGAAATATATGGACGCACTTGCACATTCACCCTTATAGCTCAGTTAATAAAATATCTAGACTGACAACAGTAGCGTTTTTCGCTCTTGACAAACACATACTACTAAAAATAATTAACAAATATCTAGACTGACAACTATGGCATGTTTTATGGTCACCAACGATATCTTCTATACCGAAATGATTTTTGAATGGTTGAAAACTCAACATATTTTGAATTTAACTATATTTACTAACGACTATGATGTGACGTAGATATGATAATTAAATCATTTTGAACAGCGAGTTCGCTCATGATAAATGTGCAGTAAAATATATATATATTTTAAAAAAATGCAAAACAAACTCCATACATAAGGGCACCCATCAACAGTTTACTATCTATAGCACACAACGTCAGTGCCAACTCATATATATATATTCCGTTCGGCTTGCTGAATCTTAGCTGAAAAATCACTGTTCTGAATTGTTGTGAGAAAAAAACACTGTTTTAACTGAAACAACAAGCCGAACAAACCGAATATAGGGTAAGCTGAACGGAGCTTATAATATAAAAGAATACCCATTTAAAGGTCTTAGTTCAACTCTATTATAAATTAGTAATTCAGGGAAGCACGCACTTCACACCTACTGGCTATTGCCTTGGTCGAACATGAGGCTGCTCAAGCTGTGAGCCCTGTTTCAGCATGAAAAGGTGTGAAACGACATTCGTCACAGTTATCGGCAACCTTTTCTCTCTCTTCCCCTCTCTGTCCTATATGGCCGCTTGTAGAAGGGTCTTAACGACCTGTTGAGGCTTCCCTAAGGTGGTTATTAGTAGGGATAGATATAAGATTACTCTATGAAAGCCTCCCCTCCGCCTATCCACGCGCCATCTCCTGTTGACGTCGCGTCAGTCACAGTTCAAGTACTGCTTAAAATAGCTGTTCCACTCTTTTTAAAACTGATGTTTCGCTGCTCAGGCCTTATTTAGGTTGGGATTAGGAATTAATATTTGGCATTGTAGCATTTTTATGTGTATTTAATAATTATTGGGGCTGTTCGCTGGTCTGGTCTGAACCAGCCAGCCAGCTGATCCCCTCTCATTTCACTGTTCACCAAATCAGCCAACAATGTTTTTCTCTCACAACAATTTAGTCGAAACATTGTTTTTCAGCCAAGTTTCAGACCAGCGAACAGGACCATTGTCCAATCATGGCCTAACTAGGCTCAAAAGATTCGTCTCGTAATTTACAATCAAACTGTATAATTAGTTATTTTTTTATCTATATTTAATACTTTATACATGTGTCTAAAAATTTGATGTGACGAAAAAAGAGTGAAAAAACTTGCAATCTAAATCTAAACCAGGCCTTACAACTTTTTACTGTGAACGCAGCTGCTCACATACCCCTGCTGTGTGCACACGCGGCGGAGCGCACGTTTTCAGCCTAGTATATAGGGATAGTAAAAAGAATAGGCAACTAGGATATGTTTAAATCTGTAAAAAGTTTCTTGTCAAGTCTCGTTTTTTGGGCTTTACATTGCTGTGTTGGGCCAGGAAAAAATGTTTTTCAAGGAGAGCTGGTTCCGCCAAAAAAAAATAAGCATAGGGAACATAACTAAATGTACTACAGTTGCAAGCTAGACATAGCTGGAATTGTCAAGCTTGCCCATGGCTCAGCTCAACAAGGCTTCCAAATGTACCCTAGGTAGCTCGGCTGGGCCTGGCTCGTTACCCTAATGAGCCAAAAGTCCAGCTTGGCTCGACTCGATCGCTGGCTCGAGCTGACTCGTTTGACTCGCGAGCTAAAGAAAACATACATATGCATGATCTGTAGCACTGATGAAGTGACAATGGTTAAAAGAGTTAGTCAATATGATGTTCATGACCAATAGATCGAGTCCCTTGCAGTTACTAGTCTACGGATGAAGCAAATCCAAGTCTACAGATAAACAAATATCAAATCTTGAATAAATCAAGCGTATTTGTATACCATTATGTCCACGGACAAGGAGGAAAAGTACAAGTTCGAGTCTCAAAGTGCAATCAAGCTCTAATTGTAGATTTTCGTGATAATGACCACGTAATTAGAAAACTAATGAGATTTATCGAGATTACAAGTAGGAAAGTTATATTCAAGGATGCTACACAAAACGGAGGAGCCCCCAATTACAAATATAGATGGTTTCAAATTCAAAAGAGGTTTAAGATTCTTTTATATTTTGAATTTGAGTATAAAAAAAGCCGTACTATAAAGGGAGACACAATACTTAAGCTAATATATGCTACCAAGTGCTCAAAGAACCACAAGCATCCTTAGATTCACAGCCAATACAGTCTACACTTCACTATTACCCTTGATGTCTTATGGGGTGCGAGCTCCGACTCGCCCAACCCCTTGGGTGCGAGCTCCGACTTTGCCCGACCTCTTGGGCGTGGGTTCCGGTTCGCCCGACCCTTTAGTCACGGGCGCCGTCTCGCCTGACCCTAAGGTCGAGGGCTCCGGCTCTCCCAGCCCCAAAGACACGGGCTCCGGCTCGCCCGACCCTTTGGTCACGGCCTCGTCTCGCCCGAGCTCGAGGCCGCGGACCTCGTCTCCCCCGACCTCTTGGGTGCAGTGTCCGTTGAGGACTGGGGGTATATATACCTTTTTTTTCTCCCCAATGGCTATCTGCGATTTAAAGTGACCGTTGGGGGCTGAGGGATATATATACCTTTCCTCTTCCTTTTCAACTGTAACGAACCAACCAGCTCTCTTCTTCCTCACTTCAGCACGCTTAAAACAGAGCAGGAGCTCTCTCTCTCACTCCATTGTTGACCTCAAGCCCCCAAGCAAATCTATTGATTTCCCCATCAATCCTTGAGGGAAGAGGGTTCAAAACTCGAATAGAGAGCAGCTCCATTGATTCCTAAACTCTAAAGAGCACTTGGTTCACGTTTTAGCCATCGGTTGTGTTTGTTACTCTTTGAGCATGGCTCCTAGCCGGCTAGAGCGTCACCCATGGAGCTTGTCAACTTGTGTGGTAGCCCGGGGAGGTTTGTAACCACCTCTTGCAGCAAGTAAAATCACCCCTCATCTCAAGAGTTCACTCTCTTGACTTTAGAATGAGGTAGGGATTCAAATCCCTAAGCCTTAGTTACATACCTCAACAACATGGACATAGACAAACCTTGGTGGCAAGCTAAACCATGGGATAAATCCTTATGTCATCTTGTGCTTGTGTTGCTACACTTGTGTTCTTGTTGTTGTTGAGGTGATTTCTAGGATTGAGGCCGATCTACTTGTGTGTGGTGTTCCCACCACTTTCAACTGTCGATCTGCAATCTACTACCCTACAGGAAGCTAAGAGATCTACCCGATCTAAATTTCATTGGGTAGATTTTGAACTATGAACTAATCTCTCCTACAAGTGTGGTAGTGCCATGCTCACAGAGCGGCAGTGCCGCGGGTGAATTTGACTTCGGTTTGAGTTGAATTTGTATAGGCCTATTCACCCTCCTCTAGGCGTACTAGAGATCCTACAAGTGGTATCGGAGTGAGGTTACCTCGTGTGCGCTTCACCGCGTGAGGTATGGAGCCTGGGGGAGGATCCGGTGTTGTGAAGCCCATCAACGTCGATCCAGAGGATGTTGGGCTACATGACACAGATAGCAGTGAGCTTAGCGCCTCTACAGTGAGCAACTCCACGCTCCCGCAGCTGGAGGCACCCGATGCCGAAAAAGCTCAAAATGAAGAAGAAAGAAGAAGAAAAAGAGCAGCTAGAAAAGAGAAAAGAAAAGCAAGAGAGAAGAAGAAGGAGAAGCAGTGGTTAGAAGAGAAGAAAGCAAGAAAAGAAGAAAGAAGACTCAAGAGAGAAGCTTGAAGAAAAAGAAGAGAAGTAAGAAAGAAGAAGGAACAAGAAGCAAAGGCCTCCAATGCATCTTCAAGTGAGCTATCTAGCAGCTCCGAAGATGGTGATGATGATGAGTCCTATCAAGTGCATAGCAAGAAGGACAAGAAAGGAAAGGGTAAGAAGAATGACAACAACAAATATGTCGCCGTATCCTTTAACTATTCTTCTATGTCTATGACTAACCATGATCATAAGTCTTTCATCAATGTGCCCATAGGC